GTCAGAAGACCTGCATTCTGATTCTCCCTGGGCCACTTGGCCTGCTTCTTACTTACCAAGTAGAAATAGTGACAACAGTGATGGCGAGGACAACAGTGATGGAAACATTAGCTGCCTTCCGCTCCTTACACAATTTTTGTGGAGAGAAATTTAAGTCGTTTGCGTAAAGGTGCTTTGTGATTATAATGCTGGTTATTGTCACTACCTGGAGGTCACCGGCTCCGGACCCGTGAGGTCCCGGCGCCTCGGGCGGTGACTCTGCCGTGGATCTGGGCTCTGTCATCGAGCTTGATTTTGCCCACATTATGCCACCCATCAGGACTGTGCTCTTGTCTATGCAATGAGGGTACCCACCCCTCCTGGGGCTTCGTGAGAATTAAATGAAATAAAGCAAACGGAGCTCGGGGCCCAGTGCCTGCGACACAGACTTTCAGTAAAACTCGGTAGACGTGCAGGGGCTGCGGGTCCCGGGGATGCCTCCCCCACTCCTCCTGGGCGCGGGGTCCTGATCCACCAGACGAACAAGTCTTTCCCTCCCTGTTCCAGGAAAGTCCAATATCGGGGGCTCGCCCAAGCCAGCTGTTGACAATATCAAAGAGGTCTTGAACATCAACCAGAGGAGGAGCGACTACCTGGGTGAGCCCCCACCCCTGCCCCCGGCTGTACCGCCCCCCAGGTGTACGAGGCCCACAGCCTGGGTCCCAGCATCTTTCTGTGGAGGCGCCCCCCCACCCCCCCACCGCTCTGTGTCATTCTGTGTGAAGGTGGCCGAGTGTCTGCCTGGTGTCATCTGGGTTAGCTGAGGCTGTGGGCAGTTTCTTCACTTGCCAGAGGGGACCTCTAGGCCGACAGGGGCGAATGCTCGGACACAGGGAAGCAGTGTGTCGGGGTCGCCATCTTCCTCCTCCTCCTGCTTTCCCACGCTCTACAGTTGCAGGAGCCTCTCCAGGAGGAAGAGGCGGGCCTGCTGGGGACTGTCCCTGGCGCCCCGGGAGCAGTGCAGATAAGCCAGGGAAGCGTTGGCAGCTGCAGGCGCTAACGGACAACTCCTCAGGTTCAGGCGAAATACAAATTGCACTGGCCTTTGACCAGAACAGAATTCAGACAGAAGCACCGGATAAGGGAAGGCGTTGAGCGCCCCATGCCCCCCCTCCCCGTCCGTGTGCCTCGCCCTGACCTGGCCCTCCGTGGAGAGCAGATTCCTCTTAAAAACTCTGGCCCAGCGAAGGCAGAGCCCAAACCCCATCCCTCAGGCCTTAGCGCCACTGGGCCAGGGTGAAATGCTCAAAACCACCTCGCCGAACAAGCAGGAGCTGAAGGGAAACGGAGAGCTCGGGGCCTGAGCGCAGGTGCTGCCTGAGGGGGCCCTCTGTCCGGGTCTGAGCATCGCCCCCTCTCGCTGCACCGCCCTCTGGGAGCAGAAGGGGGCCAGGCGGGCAGCGTGCGGAGGGAGGGTGGGGTGGGGGGGTGGGGTGGGGTGGGGGGGTGGGGTGGGGTGGGGGGCACGGTTCTCGGGAAGGGAGGGCTCCAGGCCCGCCCACGCCTCGGGGTGGAGGAGGCCAGGTCCGTGCTTCGCCTCCAGGCGACGGCCATGGCCCGTGTTTACCTAGTCGTGGACCAGAGCCGCCAGGACTGGGCGCTGTTCTAAGGGCGAAGCAGACACAAGCCGCGCGGGCAGTGCTCTAGGAGGCAAAGTGCTGGCTGCCAGGGCTGGTGCAGCACAGCATACAAACCCAGGGGCTTAAAAAACAGAAGTTCGGTCTCCCGCGTTGAGGAGCCTAGAAGTCCAAATGCCAGGTGTGCGCGGCCTGGAGGGTCCTTCCTCGCCTCTCCCGGCTGCTGGGGGCCCAGGGCCCTGGCTGAGGCGGGTACCCGGCCTCTGCTCCGTCCTCACATCCCTTCGCTCTTCTGCGAAGACCCAGCGTCAGGTCAGGGTCAGGGCCGCTCTCGTCCAGCTCGACCTCATCTTCACTAGCTCACATCCGTAAGACCCTACTTCCTGACGAGGTCACACTCAAGTCCTGGGAGTTAGGACTTGAACATACTCTTGTGGGGGACACAGTGTTACCCACAGTGGGCATAAAACAAGAGAGATAAAGAATCCCCAGGGCACGGTAGCTGGTGACAGGGGCTAAGGTGCAGGGGGGGCAGGGCACTGCGCCTTCAGACGCAAGGCGGGAAGGACAGCCGGGTAGTGATGCTTGAGTCAAGACTTAAAAAGGTAAGGAAGGGAGCCAAGTGGGGAACCTGGGGGGGAGTGGGCCAGGCGGAGGCGCCTGTGCAGAGGCTGCGGTGGGAGAGCCTGCGGCACGAGGCTTCACGAGGCCGTGGGGCTGGATGGGCTGGAGGGCGAGCCGCGGAGGGAAATGCAGTCAGACAGGGCGGGCGGAGGGGCCATGCAGGGCTTTGCAGGCACAGTGAGCCCTAAACGCCGCCTCCTGCCTCGCGGTGGCCCAGCCACAGATTCTGGTGGCTTCCTCCCCCGTCAGACATCTATGCCATCGGGGTGGGCAAGCTGGATGTGGACTGGCGAGAACTGAATGAGCTGGCCTCCAAGAAGGACGGCGAGAGGCACGCCTTCATCCTGCAGGACGCCAAGGCTCTGCGCCAGGTCTTTGAGCACATGCTGGGTGAGTGTCTTCCTTCACCCCTGGCCGGGGGCGGGGGACAGGGAGGAGCCGGGGGAGGGGGGCGGGGAGGAGCTGGGGGAGGGGGGCGGAGGCCGCTGGGAACCTGCTCACAGTGCCCTCCCCGTCTCCTGCCCCATCGGCTCCTCACCCCACAGATGTCTCCCAGCTCATAGACACCATATGTGGGGTGGGGAACATGTCAGCTAACGCCTCCGCCCAGGAGAGGACACCCTGGCATGTCACTATCAAGGTAGGGAAGGAGGGCCGGGGCTGGGGCTGGGACGCACAGTGAAGCGCCATGGGCGAGGGTCCCTGAAGACCCCCTGCTCCCCTGCAGCCCATGAGCCGGGAGACCTGCCGGGGGGCCCTCATCTCCGACCAGTGGGTCCTGACGGCCGCTCACTGCTTCCGCCACGCTGACCAGGACCACTCCCTGTGGAGGGTCATCGTGGGTGAGGAAGGCCCCACCCTGTGCCCAGCCCCTGCCCCCTCAGGAGCCCTGGCCCGGCCTAACCTGCCACGTTGTTCCCAGGGGATCCCAGCTCCCACTTGGGCAAGGAGTTCCAGATTGAGCAGGTGGTGATCTCCGAACACTTTGATGTCTTTGCCAAGAGGCACCAGGGCATCCGGGAGTTCTATGGGGACGACATCGCCCTGCTGAAACTGGCCCAGAAAGTGAAGATGTCCACCCATGCCAGGTGCTGGCACCTGGGGCAGAGCTCTGGGGAGCCCTGGAGGAGGGGGCACCCAGCATGGGCCTGTGTGACCCCCGCTTCTCCCCAGGCCCATCTGCCTTCCCTGTACGGTGGGGGCCAACCTGGCCCTGCGGAGACCCCCGGGCAGCACCTGCCGGGACCACGGTGAGAGCTGGGGCTTCAGGTGTGAAGAGCTGGGGCCGGGGCTTGGGGTGAGGACATGGCTGTGCTCCAGTCCCCAAGTCAGAAGCCGGGTCCGGGTGAAGGGGCCGGCACCAGCCTCCCCTCTCCTTGCCTGTAGAGAGCGAACTTCTGAACAAGCTGAGCGTTCCTGCGCATTTTGTGGCCTTGAATGGGGACACACTGAACATTAACCTCAAGACAGGGACAGAGGTGAGCGGCTCAGGTCTGGGCTGCGGGGGCGGGTCCCCCAGAGTGTCTGTCTGCCCCTGCAGTGCTGGCTGCTTTCTCCATCTGAGAGAGGCCCCCTGCTGCTCATCCAGCCTTCTCTCTCGCTCCACTCCTACTGCAGTGGACAAGATGTATTGAGGTCGTTGGCCAAGACAAAACCACGTTCCCCAACCTGACAGATGTCAGCGAGGTGGTGACAGACCAGTTCCTGTGCAGTGGGATGGAGAAAGATGACAATCCCTGCAAGGGTGAGCGCCCCCCCCCGGCCCCCCCCGCATTCTTGCAGGCAGGCCCCAGGGCCCGTGGCCAGCACGCGGCCAGGACGGCGCACTGCCCTGCTGATGCGAGCAGAGCAGCGGGAGTCAGCGCATCGCCTGCCCCTTCCTTCTGCAGGAGAATCTGGAGGAGCGGTTTTCCTTGAGCGGAGATTCAGGTTTTTTCAGGTGAGAGAAGGGGAAGCTGGTGGGGACTGGGTTACAGGATCTGGGCCTCACGGGGGGACCAGGGAGGCCTTTGCAGGAGCCAGGAGGATGGGCTGGGAGCTGGGGCTGTGGCCGCCTCCTGTCCATGCTCTCTCTTCCAGGTGGGCCTCGTGAGCTGGGGTCTCAACAACCCCCTCCGTTGCAACAAACTCCCTAGAGGCAAGGTCCTCCTGCTCCGCGACTTTCACGTCAGCCTCTTCCGCCTGCAGCCCTGGCTGAGGCAGCACCTGGAGGGCGATCTGAACTTCCTGCCCCTCTAGTCACGCCCACGGCCCCCTTTGCCGTCCTCTCCCCCGTCCTTCCTCTGCATTTCTGCCTTCAGACCCCGTGACCCTCCTCACGCCTCACCCGGGCAGCGCCCACCCACCCTCGGCTGTACCGACTCACTCTCCTTTCGCTTTCACGTGGAATTTCCCAGTTTTGGACATTAATAAAAATCTGATTTTCACATAGTCTGTGCCTCTGCCTGGGGGCGGGGAAGGCAGGAGTGATTCCAGGAACCACAGGAGCAGGTCAGAGACCTCGCTGGACAAACAGGGACTCTGCTCCACACCGGGTCAACAGGGGGGCGGTCTGGGCTCTTTGGGGAGGAACTGTGGCCGAGGGGAGCTGCTGAAGGGAGAGGCCTGGATCCTGGGCAGCAGAGGGTGGGGCTTGCAGTTTCTATTTCCTTGACTGGCAGCTCAGTGGGGCTCTCCCTCTTGGACATTCCGGAAAGTGATGTGGGAAGGGTGGGCAGGGCGAGCGGCAGGTGCCAGCACTCTGATTGCATAAAAGGCTGGAGGTGTGGGGGGCAGGGGACGGGAGTGCGCCCTGGCCCAGGTCTGCAGTCTCAGCCTGGACGCTGAGCCAAATGGCCATGCAGCACCAGCCGGGGAAGGCCGCGCGGCCTCCAGCGTCAGCCCCTCGCCCGCCTTCCGGGGCCCCGCGGAGCAGCCCCTGCCCCTGGCTCTGCCTCGTAGCCCTGGTCCTGGGCCTCTTGCCTGGAGGTAAGCCAGGGTCACTGCCCCCTCCTGCTGCCCAGCATCCCTCCTGGGCCTGGCAGGCCAGGCTTTACCAGCCTGTCTTTTTAGGTGTGGGCACCACGCCAGTGTCCGTGGCTGAGCCCCAAAGACCCTGCTCTCTGGAGGGAGTAGAGATCAAAGGCGGCTCCTTCCGGCTTCTCAAGGAGGGCCAGGCACTGGAGTACGTGTGTCCCGCTGGCTTCTACCCGTACCCCGTGCAGGCTCGCACCTGCAGATCCACGGGGTCCTGGAGCGCCCTGCAGACCAAAGACCAAAAGATTGTCAAGAAGGCGGAATGCAGAGGTTGGAGGGCAGGGAGGGTGGGCACGGCCAGCAGAGGGTTGGAGCAGGGCGGCCGAGGTCCCGACGAGGCTGATCCGTGTGTGAGGCCACGCGGGCTGAAAGTTGGGCTGAGCAGGTGTAGGAGCTGTCCCGGGCTGGAGGGGGGAAGGCGGAAAGAGGGAGGAGGAGGGAACCAGGCGGCCCTGCAGCGGACAGAGCACTCAGGAGTGGGCGGGAAGGGCGGTGGGCCTCCCGTGGGCTGAGGGGCCTGGGCGGGGGGGAGACGCTGCTCCTGGGGGACCAAGAGAGGGCTTGAGGCCGGGAGGGAGGCTCCAAAGGGCAGCCCGCCCCTCGCAGTGACTTCTCCTTGTCCCTCCCCCAGCAATCCGCTGTCCACGACCACAGGACTTTGAGAATGGGGAGTACTGGCCCCGGGCTGCCTACTACAATCTGAGTGACGAGATTTCGTTCCAGTGTTATGATGGCTACACTCTCCGGGGCTCTGCCAATCGCACCTGCCAAGTGACTGGTCGGTGGGATGGGCAAACAGCCATCTGTGACAATGGAGGTGAGAAGACGGCTCCCCCACGGCGGCCTGTCCCTGCCGGTGCCGCAGCCGAGGAAGCCTGGTCACTCCTGGGCGCTGCCTTGCCCGCGGGCCCCGGGCCTCACTCGTGGTCTCATGCCTCTGCAGCGGGGTACTGCCCCAACCCAGGCATCCCCATCGGCACAAGGAAGGTGGGCAGCCAGTACCGCCTTGAAGACAGCGTCACCTACTACTGCAGCCGGGGACTCACCCTGCGCGGATCCCAGCGGCGAACCTGCCAGGAAGGTGGCTCTTGGAGTGGAACAGAGCCTTCTTGCCAAGGTGACCCTTGACCCATGCCCGCCCTTGGTCAGGTCTGGCTCTCGGCCTCAAGTCCCCGTGCCAGGGCACTGCCTCCTTCTGTGCCAAACCTCCCTGTACAACTTCCCGCTGAGCCCTTCCCACTCTGGAAACCCCCCGCCGCGTCTGGCCCCCGTGCTGCGGGCCCTCCCAGACATCTGACCTGCTTTCCGACCTCTCCCAGACTCCTTCATGTACGACACCCCTGCGGAGGTGGCCGAAGCCTTCCTGTCTTCCCTGACGGAGAGGATAGAGGGCGCGGACGCTGAGGATGGGCACAGCCCAGGTGCGAAGGCGGAGTGGGGAGTGGGGTGGGAGTCGGGAGGGCGAGGGTGAGGGGCAGGGAGTCTGAGTGTCTGTGGGGCGCGCAGGGGAACAACAGAAGAGGAGGATTGTCCTGGATCCCTCGGGCTCCATGAACATCTACCTGGTGCTGGATGGATCCGACAGCATCGGGGCGCGCAACTTCACCGGCGCCAAGAACTGCCTGAAAGCCTTCATTGAGAAGGTGGAGCCCCTCCTTCAATGCGGGGACCCTGAACGGCCCTCACAGGACTAGCTTCCTGGTTGGCAGCCCCTCTGAGCCCCAGGGTTTCGGAAAATCCTCAGGTCCTAGCCCGTCCTACTTTCCCCTTCACTTGAATCAGTTTCTTCACCTGTAACCCAGACGCCCCTGAAAACCCCAGTGACCAGTCAGCCCTTGAGTCTCTTACCAGGACCTTCCCCGTCCCAGCTAAGTATTCTCCTTGCAATGCTATTACCCTTGATTCCCTCAGGTGGCAAGTTACGGGGTGAATCCAAAATACGCTCTAGTGACCTATGCCACCGACACCAACATTTTGATTAGAGTGTCCGATGCAGAGAGCAGCAATGCAGCCTGGGTCACAGAGAAGCTCGACAAAATCAGCTACGAAGGTCAGAAGTCAGGGGAGTGGTAGGAGGGGATGGTGGGAAGTTCACTCCCTTTGGGGTCAGAGAGGTCAAGGTTCGGGGTGCGGTGTGAGACCGCCTGGGGACAGGGAGGCCCGCTGTGTAGGGCATGGCTGACAGCGGGTCCTCGGAGAAGAGGTTAGTGGGAACCTGCTAGGGGCTGAGAGAGTCGCTTTGCAAAGGGAAGTCAGTGGGATGACAATCAACTAAAAAAGCTGAACCATGTGGGATGTCGTGACAGGCCTCCGGGGTTGAAGGGTGGCTTGGAAGGCTGGGAGGTGGCAACCTCTCTCCTGCCCACAGATCACAAACTGAAGACGGGGACGAACACCAAGAAGGCCCTCCTGGCGGTGTACAACATGATGAGCTGGGCGGGGGACGCCCCTCCCGAGGGCTGGAACCGCACCCGCCACGTCATCATCCTCATGACTGACGGTCAGACGGGCTCTCTCCTGCCCGACTCCCCACCCTCTCCCTCGTGTGTGGCCCTTCAGTCCACATGGAACATTAGACTCATGGCTGGGGCCCCAGGCAGCAACAGGCGGGAACCATGTTGATCTTTTCTGTGACATTTTACAAGGAGGGACTCTGTGATCTGTCACTTCCAAGCCTGCCTACCCAGCCACGTGCCACGCCATGAGCAGTCTGTCTGGACCCTCCTTGCCTCCCCTCACGGTCCGTCTCTTCCGTAGGCCAGCACAACATGGGCGGAGACCCAGTCCCTGTCATCCAGGACATCCGGTCTTTGCTGGACATTGGTAGAGATCGCAAAAACCCAAGGGAAGACTACCTGGGTGAGTTCCATTGGCCAGGGCCCAGCCGCCTGCTCTCCCAGCTCCAGCTCCTGCCCTTCCCGGGCGTGGACCCTCACCCTCCCTTTCTCCCTCAGACGTCTACGTGTTTGGGGTTGGGCCTCTGGTGAACCAAGAGAACATCAATGCTTTGGCTTCCAAGAAAGATAAAGAGCAACATGTGTTCAAAGTCAAGGACATGGACAACCTGGAGAATGTTTTCTACCAAATGATTGGTAGGCAGATGTCAGGAACCCGCTCTCCCAGGCCCTCCTTCCTGCTCCGCCCGAAGCCCTGGCCGTCTGGAAGGCCTCTCCTTGGCTCCACCGTAGTGCCGATTGCTTCCCTGGCACTGTCCACTTAGGACCAGAGCTCCCAGGGGCCTTTCTCCAGCCCCGTTTTACAGATGAGGCCAAGAGACGGCAAACTAGTGAGCTGGGCCTAAAACCAGTCAAGTCTTCGATCTGAGTCTCAAATTCTTTCCCCTGTACCAGTGACTTCATGTCTTCAGTACAAGTAAACGAATGCCCTTGCCGCTCCTTTCTCATGGGCCTCGGCTCCCATGGACATGGAGGTGTCCCTCCCCAAAGGTGCTGCCGTTGGGATGAAGCGCCCCAGCTTTCAGCGCCCGCCCTTCCTCTCTTTCTAGATGAAAGCCAGACTCTGGGTCTTTGCGGCATGGTCTGGGAGCACAAGGATGCTACCGATTACCACAAGCAACCATGGCAGGCCAAGATCTCAGTCACCGTAAGCATGGCGGCCTGGGGGGGGGGGGGGGGCAGGGGGAAGTGGGAGTAGGGAATGGGCAGGGCCCACGCTAGGATTCAGTTGGTGAAAGAGCTTCCCCTCCGCCATTATTACCAGCGCCCTCCGAACACACATGAGAACTGCATGGGGGCTGTGGTATCCCCGTACTTCGTGCTGACAGCGGCACACTGCTTCACAGTGGAGGACCAGCTACACTGGATCAAGGTCAACGTGGGTAAGGACGATGCAGTGGATCAATTCTGAGCTCCACCCTCCAGCTAACACCTCCCACTTCGAGCTCAGTTCACCCGCCCTCAATGTAGCTCGTTCCTTTACACCAGGGGCGGGGAACGTCTGGCCCTTGGGCCATATAAGGCCCACAGAATCATTTGGTCTGGCCCTGCCAAGGCATTAGAGAGGAGTTAAATATTTGACCAAAGATAGCAAGCTGTTTTTGTGTTAACTTCACCTGAGGACATTTTCTCCACTGATTTTTTAAGACAGAGTGAAAGGGAAGGGGAGAGACAGAGAAACATTGATGTGAGACACATCAATTGGTTGCCTCCCAGGGGCTGGGGATCAAGCCTGCAACCAAGGTACATGCCCTTGACCGGAATCCAACCTAGGACCCTTCAATTCACTGGCCAGTGCTCCACCCACTGAGCCAAACCAGCTAAGGCCTAGCATGCTAATTTTTAATTTGATAATTTTGTATGGCCCATGGACGATATTATAAATACCCCAATGGCCCTCAGCAGAGAAAGACCCCGCCCCTGCTTCCTATGCTGAAGCAGAGGGAAGGCCCGGGGCCAGAGGCCGGAAGCTGCCCGGAGAAGTGGGTGGCCCAGAGGTCCTCTCTCCTCTGACCTTAGGAGGAAAGAAGCAGGACTTGCACATAGAACAAGTTCTATTTCACCCCAAGTACAACATCAATGGGAAAAAAGCAGAAGGAATTCCGGAATTTTATGACTATGACGTGGCCCTGATCAAGCTCAAGGAGAAGCTGCAGTACAGCAAGACGCTCAGGTCAGGCGTCGGGCTCCCCGAGGAGACTGCAGGTGGGGCTGGAGGCCTGGGGTGCAGTTTGCCATCCCTTCCCTACCTCTCCTGAACAGGCCCATCTGTCTCCCTTGCACTCTGGCCACAAATCAAGCTCTGAGGCTTCCACTGTCAACCAGCTGCCAGAAACAGAGTAAGACATGTTCAGGGAGAGGAGCACTAGGGTGAGAGTCCGAGACAAGTGGGGCGTGAGGGTCGCTGAGGAGGCGCCTGCCTGAGCCCAGCTCCTAGGGAGGGGCTGAGGGAGCTGCGGAGACGGTGGGGAGAGGAGTGCTGAAATGACCCAGTCCGTCCATCTGTCCAGTGGAAGAGCTGCTCCCGGCAAAGGACGTCAAAGCTCTGTTTGTGTCCGAGTTGCTCAAGGGCGGGAAGCTGACTCGGAAGGAGGTCCACATCAAGAATGGGGATAAGGTGAGCAATGTGGGACCCTAAGGAGGTTCTCGGCCCAGACTCTCCGAGCGAGCTGGTTCATCCCTTTCTCCCCGCCCACAGAAAGCTGCGTGTGAGAGAGATGCTCAGAAGGCCCCAGGCTATGGTAAAGTCAAGGACATCTCTGAGGTGGTCACCCCCAGGTTCCTTTGCACTGGAGGGGTGGATCCCTATGCTGACCCCAACACTTGCAAAGGTGAGAAAAGGCTCTTTGGTGGAGCTGCAAGTTCCCGAGGCCCCGGAGGTTCGCTGCAGCTTCTTCTCCCCTGTAGGTGATTCTGGCGGCCCCCTGATTATTCACAAGAGGAGTCGCTTCATTCAAGTAAGTCTCTCCTTTCCCAGCCGGGGAGACGCCAAGTGGTCAGCACGGGCCCAAAGCAGGAAAGGTCAACAGATGTGGCTAGAAAGGGGACAGAGCCGCCTCGCCTTAGGACTACCTCTGAACTGGCTGGCTCAGGACCACGGTGTGGCCTGGCTGCTGCGGAGGACGGGACCGAGTGGGTTCCTAGTCTATTTCTCCCAGGGCAGTGCAGGTGCAATGGGAGCAGCTGTGCTTCCTGAGGTGCAGGAGAAATTCTACCAGATGACCCATGGCACCCCGTGCCCCTGCAGGTTGGTGTGATCAGCTGGGGAGTCGTGGATGTCTGCAAAGACAAGAGACTGCAGCACCAGGTGCCTGCTCATGCCCGAGACTTTCACATCAACCTCTTCCAAGTGCTGCCCTGGCTCAAGGAGAAACTCCATGAAGAGGAGCCTTTTCTATAGGGGTTTCCTGCTGGGAAGGGGCATGGGATCCAATTAAAAGAGCTGTGACAACACCTGTGTTCAACATCCTTGGGGGTAAGGGAGTGGGGAAGGCGCACTGGCCATCTTGCCACAAATGAGATCCAATCTAACGGCCATTGTAAAAGGCTCAACCCAATCCCGTGCTGAGAAACCAGAGGCTGAGGGAGATGTGTGAGCTTCCACCTCAGTGCTTTACTGAGACCAGTGTCAGGCAGGCGGGGCACAAGCAGTTCAGCTCCGCCACCTAGAAGCCATCCACAAGGTTTTCCTTGTAGACATCGTCATTGTAGACAATCTGGGTCCTTTTGTCCCGATGGCAGCCCTTAGGACTGTTCTGGACGGCTAGGGAGGGAGGAAAGGATTAGTTAAAGGCCTGAAGGAGAGCATTGGTGAGACCCCACACGGAGTCTGACCCCACTCCTGGCCTCTGGTTCCTGGAAGCTGTTCTATGCTGCCCTCCGGTGGCCGGGACGGCCTGGCTCCCCCAGTGGCTGCCAAACCATCACAACACCCCAGCAAGCAGTGAGCAGTATGCTGTTACCACAGGGGGATACTGTTAACAAATGGTTGGTTCTTAGAAAAACAGCCAATGTTATTATTGACACATCTGAATGGTGCGTACTACAGCTCTGAGTCAATACATCAAAAATTAAAACTATCCTGGCCCAGTGTGCTCAGTGGCTGAGCGCTGACCTATGAACCAGGTCACAGTTTGGTTCCTGGTCAGGGTACAGGCCTGGGCTGCTGGCTTGATCTCCAGTGCAAGACGTGCAGGAGGCAGCCAATCAGTGATTCTCTCTCATCATTGATGTTTCCATCTCTCTCCCTCTCCCTTCCTCTATGAAATTAATATTTTTTAAAAAGTTAAAAATGAGAAAATCTCTATAGCCCTCTGTTGACATGCTGGTCTTTTCTGAGCCTTCCTTTCATCTGGAAGGTCACTCTTGCTCTGAACCCCTGTTCTGCCCCACCCCTTTGCCAGGAAAATCTATTTCTGCTAAAATGAGAAGTGCTACTCGCCCGGCAGAACTCACTCTGGGGGTAGCTGTGGCCAGAGCATTCTCCCTTGAGCCTCGAGCTATCCTTCCCTTCCTTGTTCCTCCCTGTTCCCAGTGCGTCCCTCTCCTCACCCCATCGCCAAGGATTCCATCCCCGCCACTCTGGAGCTAGTGATCCCCCGACAGCAGCTCCCAGTCTTTGGGGTCTCTGTACTCTGGCAATGCTGACATGCCCTTTCTCAAAGCGGGTGTCCTCTGGCTTCAATGGCCCTGACCCTTCCTGCTGTCTCCGTTGCTGCATCAACCCCAGCCTAACATGTCAGGAGGGCTGGGACGAGCGGGGCATGGGGAACAGAGCCCTGCTTCCACCATATTCTCTGAATATTACCCAAGCCCAGTCCTGGGCCATTTTTTCCTCCAGAAGTCAGTCTCCCCAATGAGACTATCATTTTGTAGCCACCCCGAGATACAGGTGACAATCTGTCTTCGTTTCTCACCTCGTGCCTGAGTTCCAGTTCCTATTCCAACACCAACTACACTTCACCTCGAAATGAACAAGGCCACGAGCTGCTCATCTTCCTCATGAACCTGACCCTGCTCCAGTTACAGTTATTTTCAACCATTTTCTCTTCCTTCTCCTACTTCCAACTGACAGAGGGCCTGACCACTCTCCTTCCCATTCCCACAGCCCCCCACACACCCAGGCCTCCAGGGAACCCAGGGCATGCAGGGGAACCAGAAGAAGGGGTGAGCGGTGGGGCAGGATGAGGAAGAACCTCGTTCTTACCGAGGGAGCCCCACACAGACTTGCCAGTGGCGGCATCCAGCATGGGCTGCTTGCGGGCAATGCTGACCTTGAGCTGCACGGACTCCACCTGCGTCCCGTTGAGCTGGGGCAGAGAGGGAGGGCAGAGGATGGGGAAACATTACAGGCAAACCAAAGGAGAATTTCCACGGGCTGCCATCCTAGCAGTGGCCTGAGCCGGGATCTGAGGACATAGGGTTGCTGTGAGTGGGGAGGGGCTCTCAGGAGGGAACGATGGCCCCGGCTCTCAGTACTTCAGAGAAAACACGAGGATGGCAGGAGGGCGGGAGGAACGGATCTGGGAAGTCCCACCTCAGCAACGGCCTGATCTGCCGACTCCATCTTTTCATAGGTGACGAAGGCACAGCTGGATGAGAGGAGACAGGGTCAGTGGAGGGACGCGGGCTCTTCTTAATGCAGCCGAGCCCGATGCTACAGGCTGCGGGGACGGGCTGGCCGAGGCCGCACACCCGACGTCCTCCTTACTTTCTGGGCGGGTCCATGGAGAGGTCAATGATGTTTCCAAAGGGGGAGAAGGCCCCACGGAGGAGGGTGGGCGTCATGTCTTCCCCATACACGTAGAGAGTGTTCCCCTTCCGAGGGGCCCGGCGTTCAGGGAACGAGTCCGACCCTGTGGGATCACAGACGGACCCTGTGTCACCCTCCACGTGAGCTGGAGCCACCTCAATCCTCGCTGAGGCCACTTTCCCCACTAGCCACGCCCACTCACTGCGGAAAGGGCCCTCTCGCTCTCGCTCTCGGTCCCGTTCCCGGTCCCGTTCTCTGTCTCGGTCCCGTTCTCTGTCCCGGTCCCTTTCTCTGTCCCGGTCCCGTTCTCTGTCCCGGTTCCGCTCACGACTGCGGTCCCGGCTGCGGCTTCGGGGCGGGGAGACTGAGGAGCGGGCGTTACCACGTTCTTCGTAGCCCCATTCAAAGCTTCGCGGAGGGCCGTCACCAGCCCCTGGGCCCTCTGCCTCCTCCCCATCGGGCCCCAGGTCCCGAAGCCGGTCACTGGAGGAAACAAAGCTAGGGGAGCAGACAGTGAGGATCAAAGGGGGCCTTTACCTTGTCTTTCAGGACCCTGTAGAGACTCCACACTCGCTCTGGAGCCCAGCTCCTCCCACTCCAGCCCCACACCTCCCAAGGACCAGGCAGCCCCCGCACCGGGACCCAGTCCTGCTGGCTCACCTCTCGTACAGAGATTTCCTCTGGGGGCGTCTGGACGACTGAAAAGGAGACCAAGTTTCAGTGAGGAGCCCCCTAGTTTCAGGCAGTGGGTCCCTCAGGGACAGGAGTGGGAGCCGTTACCTCCTGCAGGTCGTCATCGGCAGATATGCTCCTCTGGAACGGCTGGAAAGTGGGGGCCGGCCCCTTCTCGGGGTCCTGGAAGGAGGTAGGGACCCACCTCAGAGTGGGAGCAGGAGGCGGCCAGCCATGGGACAGAGGAGGGGATTCCTCTTCCCTCCCCGCTACTCGCCTCTGCTGGCCTTTTTTCCTTTTAATTCCTTTGTACTTTTCTTTCATTTTTAAAAAATATATTTCATTGATTTTTTACAGAGAGGGAGGGAGGGGGATAGAGAGTTAGAAACATCAATCAGCTGCCTCCTGCACACCCCCTACTGGGAATGTGCCCGCAACCCAGGTACATGCCCTTGACCGGAATCGAACCTGGGACCCTTCAGTCGGCAGGCCGATGCTCTATCCACTGAGCCAAACTGGTCAGGGCTGTACTTTTATTTGATTATGTGGTATTTCAAAATAAGTGACCCTAATACACCCGTAAAGTACTTAGTGTATCTCAACATTTCTTGAGCCTGCTAACATTTCAGCCGGCTCACCTCCTGAGAACAACACAAGCCACGAGCTCTCACACGTGGGCTGGAGCCAGACTGTGCCAAGTGCAGAGCTCGGGAGTCACCCACTGTCTTCGCTCGGGGTGGCAGACCATGTGCCCAGGATCGAGCAGGCGTTCCTTTCCCCTCAACCTGCCTCCATTCCAGTGTGGAGGGATGCCCCCCGAGTTAAGGGTCCCTGGACTAGCTTTCTGCTTGTGCTTACTTTTAACTTTCCCTCTAGGGTTCGAGAACGCTTGAAGCCCGAGTTCTTGGTCTCAGCCTTGATGGCACTGATGGCTCCCGACTTCACCAGCTGCTTTGCCTGCTCTGTTGCGGTGGCTGTGTCCACCACGGGCTGCTCTGACAGAGCTGGAGTGGGGAGGGAAAGAGGCGTTATGGCAGCCAGGAGGGAGAAAAGCCAGCCCTGTGCTCCCGTTTCCCGCCACTCACAGCGTTTCACGCCGCCTTGGCTGGCTATGCTGCTGCTACTTTGCTTCTTCAGAGCCAGCAATGCCTTTTTCTGGGAATAAGAATGAGAAGAGAGGAGTTGGTGAGGGCCACCCTGACCAGATCCTTTCCCAAGGCCCCTGCCACATGACTCCAGGCGCCCCCTTTCTCAAAGAAAACAACGCCAATGGTGCTCCTGGAGAGGCTCGCTGAGACAGCCAGAGACCACCTGCCGTGCCAGCGACACCTACGCCACCCAAACCATGGTATCCAGTGACTTCCCAAAGCATCAAGTTTCTGAAGGTGAAGACGAGGAATTCAATCATGGACCAGAGCTCCCGGGTATGAGCTGCAAGTAAGCATAGGCCAGTGGTCGGCAAACTCATTAGTCAACAGAGCCAAATATCAACAGCACTTCTTCAAAATAGACTTGCCCAGGCCGAAAACTGACTTCTGCGCATGGGCCACGAAGTTTCAATCGCACTGTATGTGCGCGCCCGCACGTGATATTTTGTGGAAGAGCCACACTCAAGGGGCCAAAGAGTCGCATGTGGCTCGCGAGCCCCAGTTTGCCGACCACTGGCATAGGCCTACATGCCTTTCTTGGGGGCTTCACCCACCCATCTTCTGTGTACTTAACAAGAACACGCCTTTCATTACTTTATAGCAGGGACATGCAAAAGTATGAGACACAGTTCCTCCTGTGCAAGAAGCTTACAATCTGAAAAATAGAATGTCTGGACTAAATTGTCAAGGATGTTTATTAGAGATGCAAACTGCTCGAGAGCAAGTAAAATTTTCTGATGTCTAATGGCTATTAAACTGGACCCTGGGTAAAATCTGTACAACAGAGATGGAGAAAAAGAGCATTTTACACAAAGAAAACAGTGTGAAAAAATGCAGATATAAGAAGGCTTTGGGAATGCATGTTTTGGGACTAGTGAATAGTTCTATTTTACGAAAAAAGGGATACCAACTTAAGATTTTATTCCACAAGGTTCGATCCCAGTCAAGGGCATGTACCTTGGTTGCGGGCACATCCCCGTTGGGGGGTGTGCAGGAGGCAGCTGATCGATGTTTCTAACTCTCTATTCCTCTCCCTTCCTCTCTGTAAAAAATCAATAAAATATATATTTTTTTAAAAAGATTTTATTCCACAGACAATGTGAAACTACTTAAGGATTCTGAGAAAAAGGACAGTCTTGTGTTCCCAATGGATCATTTTAATAAGAGTGAAGAAATCTGTTAAAAAAACACACTAAGAAACGTGTTTAGAGACCATTACAACAGTCTACGTGAACATCAGCAAAGACCTGATGATTTATGGAATATGCAGGAAAAAAGAAATGGGAGAAATTATTTTCAAGAAAGAATCAAGGAGCCTGGCTGGTGTGGCTCAGTGGTTGGGCACTGACCTATGAACCTGGAGGTTATGATTCCATTCTCAGTCAGGGCACATGCCCAGGTTGCTGGCTCAATCCCCAGTAGGGGGTGTGCAGGAGGTAACAGATCAATGATTCCCTCTCATCACTGATGTCCCCACTTCTCTCTCCCTTCCTCTCTGAAATTAAAAAATATATATGTATATGTACTAGAGGCCCAGTGCATGAATTCATGCACCAGTGGGGTCCCACGGCTGGCCTGCAGGATCAGGCCGAAACTGGCTTTCCGACAGACCCCGAGGGGTCCCAGATTGCAAGAGGGTGCAGGCCAGGCCGAGGGACCCCACTGGTGCACGACTGGGGCCCGGCCCGGGAGGGACGGGAGAGGTTGGCCAGCTGGGGAGGGACCGCGGGAGGGCTCCAGGGCGTGTCCAGCCCATCTCGCTCAGTCCAGATCAGCTGGACCCCAGCAGCAAGTTAACACATTGTATGCGGGAAACGTATTTATACGTTTTACGTTGACTGGTAGTAGAGCGCGGGGCATGTACTAATACTTTTTTATAGACTAGCAGTAGAATGCGGGTAACGTATAAATACGTTTATTTTTATACTTTTTTATTGCTCTAAAGGGATGCTAACATGCAGCTATACGAATTCCAAAGGACAAAATTTGGGTCTCTAACACATACAATGGTGAATTATGTCTGTACTTCCAGGTATCATGGTAATCAATCTATTCAACTGCAAAAATGGCCCGCGCCACCTGTTAGCGCGAGATAAAAGCTATCCGCAAACAATGTGTTAACCTACCGGTCAGAGCATCTGCCCCCTGGTGGTCAGTGCACATCATAGTAACTGGTTGACCGGTCGAGAGTCTGCCTCCTGGTGGTCAGTGCATGTCATAGTGAGTGGTTTAGCGGCCTTAGCATACCATTAGCATATTATGCTTTGATTGGCTGAACGGCTGACTGGACACTTAGCATATTAGGCTTTTATTATATAGGGCATTAAAAAAGACAGCAATTGTTTGGCTATGCAAATGGAAAAGTCAGAGATGAGATTTAAAAAAATTGATTTGAGCCGAAACCGGTTTGGCTCAGTGGATGGAGCGTCGGCCTGCGGACTGAGGGGTCCCAGGTTCGATTCCGGTCAAGGGCATGTACCTGGGTTGCGGGCACATCCCCAGTAGGAGATGTGCAGGAGGCAGCTGATCGATGTCTCTCTCTCATCGATGTTTCTAACTCTCTATCTCTCTCCCTTCCTCTCTGTAAAAAATCAATAAAATATATTTAAAAAAAAAAATTGATTTGAGAGAAACACTGGTGTGCTGCTCCCCTTACTGATGATTCTTGTCTGTGCCCTGACGGGGGCTGAACCTGCAACCTTGCGTGTCAGGACGATGTTCTAACCGGCCACGGCAGAGCTGAAATGTGTGACTCCAAACACTCAGAGGAATGTGGTCGGTCCGTATTTGGAAGATGGAGAAATGGACCGAGGTTAGGCTCGGAGGAAGATGCTGGCTTTATTTCGGATAGGTTAGGGGCATCAGTGAGACCATCGGAACGGGAAAGCCACACTGGGGAGCGCCAGCTGCAGGATGAAAGCCGCGGGGAAGGGAGGCAGCTCCAGGGCCGGCGGATAGGACAGACCGGCCGCTCCGCGCCACACCGCGGCGGCCCGCCACACCCCTCACCTTTTTCTTCAGTTTGTTGAATTTCTTCTGCAGAGCCTCCTCCTCCTCGCTCAGTCCGGGGGGTATCACCAACATGGTGGCTCCTGGTTCAGGGGCGGGGCCAAGACATCTTTCTCCACCGGCACCGCCCAGGCCTGCTGACTCCTGGGGTCGCCTCTCCCAGCCCCGGCTTAGGCTCGGGCCCGCACCCCGCCTCGCTAGGAATCACGGACAGCAGCCCAGCGGCACCGCGAGGACCGGGACAAACACCCTCCGTCGCCGAGACGCTGGCGCCAGAGCCCCCCTACCCCACGGGTCAGCATGGCCACCGCGGGGTCCCAGCTGCAGAGGCGGCGGCGGAACCCGCGCAGCGCCCTCGGAACATCGGAAAAGGGAAGAAGGAAGGAGCTCGGAAAAGGGCGCAGGGTGCGGAGGGCGCCTTACCTGTGGCGCGTCAGCCCGGCCGCGGTCTCGGGCGGCGGCCCGCGGGCACGGTCGCCGGCTCGGAGCGATGACGTAGAGGGGCGGAAGCGCGGCATCCACGGCAGCCGCCTCGCAGGCACTTCCGCCCGGCCTTCCCGGAGTCGGAGCCGGCGGCCCCTCGCAGGCACTCGGCGGGTGGGTGGCGGAAGTCGCCTTCACTTCCGCCCTTTCGGGGGCGGGGCTTACCGCCGCTCCTCGCTGCACTTCCGGCTGCGGGGCAGCTGCTGTGGCTCCCAGATGATGGAGACGGAGCGACTCGGTGAGCGGGCGGGGGTGGAACGAAGGAGTAGACAGGAATCTACCCTTGACCCCTGACCTCTGATCTTCCTCCTGTAGTGCTGCCTCCCCCGGGCCCCCTGGACCTGCCTCTTCGGGCTGTGGAGCTGGGATGCACTGGGCGCTGGGCGCTGCGGAATGTGCGGGGGGCTCCGGAGAGCACGGTGAGTGACTTTTGACCCTAACCTTTGACCCGCACTGGGCTCAAAACCCTTTCCTTACAGTAGGACGAGCAGACCCGCTTTTCTGTCGACACCTGCCATCGGGCCGGCCTGGTGCAGGGCAGACTCCAGCCTAGTGCTGCTCCGGGTGGGAGCCCCTTGAGGACCAGCGGGGCGCTCCGGGGGTGTCTTAGCTCCCCAGCTGCGCTTTCCAGTGTGTCTGTCCTCGTGCAGGCCCTTCTGTCTCCAAGCACTTGGTGGCTGAGATGCCAGCCCTTTTCCCTAAAGCTGGTGATTCTCAAATTTCAGGTGCCTCATAATCGGGGGGGCAGCTTTTAAAGAACACGGATTCCTGGGTCCAGCCCCAGCTTCTGAAATCTGTACTATAAACCAGCAGGTCCTTTGTCCCTGAAAGTGTCACAGCCTTTGGGAAACATCGCTTCACTTTGATTGTCCTTGTCTGTCTGGGTCATCTGCCGTTTCTGCTCTAACACCAGTCCCATCCCTGTCTCTCATCTCGCCTGGCCCCAGCTTCCCCACGGCCTCCCTCCCTGTGCCCCAGATCTGCAGCAAGAAGCCGAGCAGCGGTTCCTGTCGTCGCCAGCCTGGCTGCCTCTGCATGGCCTGGAGCACTCAGCTCGGTGGGCGTCGGAGGGGCCTGGCCGAGGGAGGTGGGCCCATGGAGGGAGCTGAGACAGAGGAGAAAGAAGACTTGAAAGTTACTTCTCTCTCTAGAAAATGGCAGAGGAAGATGGATCCTTGGTCCCTCCTTACTGTCCTGGGGGCCCCAGTCCCCTCCGACCTGCAAGCCCAGAGACAGCCAACCACGGGCCAGATACTGGGCTTCAAGGAGGTAAGGGCTCAGGGGCCACGAGCAGCAGGGCTGGGGGAGGCGGGTCGGAGGCAAGCTCAGCCTCGGCTCTGCTCGCGCACCTCAGGTCCTGCTGGAGAATACAGACCTGTCGGCCACCACCTCCTTATCTCTTCGCCGGCCACCAGGGCCCATCTCCCAGTCCTTGTGGGGGAATCCAACACAGTACCCTTTCTGGCCAGGTAACTGTTGTGGGAATGAGATTGAAGGGGAGGGAGCCCTCAGTCTCCAGGGAAGGTTCCCATATCCCCCCTCATGACTCCTCGTGTCCAACCTCTCCCCAGGTGGGATGGATGAGCCCACCCTCACAGAGCTGAGCACCCGGGAGGAGGCTGAGGAGGAGATAGACTTTGAGAAAGGTGAGGTGGTGCCAGGCTGGACCCTGGGGAGGCAGGGCTCCAAGTCTGGGCCCTGAGGACGAGGGGCCCAGGCCTAGCACTGGGCTGCTGCTAGCCCTTCCGTGCCTTTGATCAAGTTAGGAAAAGGTCCCCCTTCCGTAACAAACGTTACGGTCGCGTGTTGGAAAACTATTACAGCTGTCCCCAGCTACAACGCCCGTGCTGTGCATGGCATTCTTTAGTCTGTGTGACGTGGGACTTGCTCGGGAGTGCGCAGTGGTCCTGACGCGCTCTGTCCCTGCCCTGCAGACCTCCTTACCGTTCCACCTGGCTTCAAGAGAGGTGTGGACTTTGCACCAAAGGGTGAGTTCTGGGATGGGCGTGTAGAAGTGGCGCCCTTCTCCTGTAGAACGGAGATGGACGGACTGGGTCTCCCTTTTTGCCTGGCTCCTCAGATCACCCAGTTCCAGCGCCTGGGCTGCTCAGCCTCAGCCGTCTGCTAGAGCCCCTGGATCTGGGTGGGGGCGACGAAGACGAGAGGGAGGCAGTGGGACAGCCAGGAGGTACCAGAGGAGACACTGTCCCAGCCTCTCCCTGCAGTGCTCCCGTGGCCAGAGCAAGCAGCTTGGAGGACCTAGTGTTGAAGGTGGGTGCTTCTGGGCAGTTGAAACGGGAAAGAAGGGGGCCTTGGCCCCGGGCGGTGGGCTGGCTGGCTTGGCTCTATGGGAGAGACTGGAGCATCTCTTGGGAGGAGTGGTCATGGGGAGCTTTCTGGCTGTATCTCTATCGCTCCCACCCCTTACTTTTCCAGGAAGCGTCCACAGCTGTGTCCCCTTCGGAGCCCCCCAAGCCCCTCCCTCAGGAGCAGTGGGCCGTTCCTGTGGATGTCACCTCCCCCGTTGGCGACTTCTACCGCCTCGTTCCCCAGCCAGCCTTCCAGGTAGTGTGGCCCAGGCCTCACGTCTCCCCGCCTCCTCCCCGCCCCTGCCTTGTCCGCTCTCCTCGCCAGAGGCCAGATGCCTTCCGGGCCGGTCTTGGACCTCAGTCCCAGCCTCGCTCACTCTGGCCTTCTGCCCTGCGTGCCCCAGGAGCCAGAGGTAGGAAGGCCCCTCTCCCTTCCTTAGCCCTCATCTAGTTCTCTCTCCCACAGTGGCCATTTGAGCCTGATGTGTTCCAGAAACAGGCCATCCTGCACCTGGAACGGCACGACTCGGTGTTTGTGGCGGCGCACACATCTGCAGGGAAGACGGTTGTGGCCGAATACGCCATTGCCCTTGCCCAGAAGCACATGACGCGGTACCGCCTTCCCTTCCTCAGCCATCCCTGCTTTCTCCCGCGTCCTTTCTAAAGCTCCTCTCTTCCCATGTCCTTACTTCATCTTTTATTCATTATTTAAAAACACATTTTTATTGGTTTCTGAGAGGAAAGGGGAGAGAGAGAGGGAGAGAGGGAGAGAGAGAGAGAGAGAGAGAGAGAGAGAGAGAGAGAGAGAGAGAGAGAGAGAGAGAGAAAGAGAGAGAGGGAGAGATAGGAACATCAGTGAAGAGAGAGAATCGTTGATCAGCTGCTTCCTACATGCTCCACCCTGGGGTTGAGCCTGCAACCCGGGCATGTGCCCGACTGTGACCCTGGTTCACAGGTCAGTGCTCAGCCACTGGGCCACGCCAGCCTGGCTTTACTCCATCTTTTAGATGGGAGAGTTGGGGGAGGAATGGAGACGGGCCTGGGAGGAAACGAGAAGGTGTGGGGAGAGAGTTTAGAAGCATGACCTGCATGCATTTAGTTCAGGAAGGGGTCGAGGGACAGAATTTTTCTGGGATCACGTCATGAAGGAGAATGAGGGCTGTTTGGGTGAAGAAAGGGGGGCGCCTGAGCGCTGCGGCTGCTGCTGGGAGGGCTCAGGGTGGGCGAGGAGGTGCTGACCGCAGTCTGTGTGGAGTGACTGGCGAACCTCACCCTCTTCCAGCACCATCTACACTTCCCCTATCAAGGCTCTGAGTAACCAGAAGTTCCGAGACTTCCGAAACACATTCGGGGACGTGGGGCTGCTCACGGGGGACGTCCAGCTGCACCCAGAGGCCTCCTGCCTCATCATGACGACAGAGATCCTTCGGTGAGAGATGGGCACTCGGCACGGGTGGGTTTGGCTCAGGAAGGCGAGGCTGCTCTGGAGCTGTTGGCTGGGCTGGTGGAGGCAGGAGCCACTGGGGAGTCAGCCTGCGGTCTCCCCCAGCTCCATGCTGTACAGCGGCTCAGACGTCATCCGGGACCTGGAGTGGGTCATCTTCGATGAGGTTCACTACATCAACGACGCTGAGGTAAGGAGCAGGAGGCCCGTGGGGCCCCAGACCAGCAGTTCTTTCCTGTGGGGCCAGCTCAGCAGCTCCCGCCACACACCCTGCAACCTCCCTGCCTTTGCCCTCCAGTGGAAGCCGAGGAGCAGGACAGCCCCTCTGAGCTGCCCGTGACTTGTCTTCCCTTTCTGCCCAGCGTGGGGTCGTGTGGGAGGAGGTGCTCATCATGCTTCCTGACCATGTCTCCATCATCCTTCTGAGTGCCACTGTCCCCAACGCCCTTGAGTTTGCTGACTGGATTGGGTGAGATGTGTGTCCCGGGTGCTGGGCGAAGGTGCTGTGGTCCTCCCGTGGTTGGGGGTGGGGGCGAGGACTGCCACAGCAGGGAGCGTGGCCAGACCGTGGGGCAGAGGGGGCCGGGGTGGGTCTGGGGAACATGGCCCACTTGGGCCCAGACCACTTTGAATGTTGAGAGATACGATGACGGGGACAGCCTCCCAGTCCAGCTCCCAGAAAAGACTGGGGGAGGCCAGAGGCGGAAAGTGGGTGGGGATGTGGGCTGCTCCTTCCCACCCCCCACCTGACCTGTTTCCTTCCCACTCAGACGACTGAAGCGCCGCCAGATCTACGTGGTCAGCACTGCCGCCCGCCCCGTGCCGCTGGAGCATTATCTCTTCACGGGGAACAGCCCCAAGACCCAGGGGGAGCTCTTCCTGTTGCTGGACTCGCGAGGCGCCTTCCACACAAAGGGGTAAGCGGGGGAGGGGGGGGGTGGTTAGCGCTGGGCCCGGCGGGCGGGACTGATGGCCGTCCTCCGCACACCCAGGTACTATGCAGCTGTGGAGGCCAAGAAGGAGAGGATGAGCAAACACGCCCAGACCTTTGGGGCCAAGCAGCCCACGCATCAGGGGGGGCCTGCACAGGTGAGGACCAGCAGGCTCCAGACCTTTCACCACCTGCCTCTTCCTTCGTCCCCCGGGGCATCGGACTTGCGCTGTGAGCACTGCCCCTGATGACTCTTCCTTCTCTCCTCCCACCGGTGGCTCCACCTGTGCCTTTGCACCCCCTTCCCCAGGACCGCGGTGTGTACCTGTCCCTCCTGGCCTCCCTCCGCACCCGTGCGCAGCTGCCCGTGGTGGTGTTCACCTTCTCCCGGGGCCGCTGTGATGAGCAGGCGTCGGGCCTCACCTCCCTGGACCTCACCACGAGCTCAGAGAAGAGCGAGATTCACCTGTTCCTGCAGCGCTGCCTTGCTCGCCTCCGCGGCTCTGACCGGCAGCTGCCCCAGGTGTGGAGGGCCCTGGGCTCGGAGGCCGGTGGGCTGGGTGCTCGACGCCCCTCCCTGACCACGGTCTCGGTCCCCGCAGGTGCTGCACATGTCGGAGCTCCTGCACCGAGGCCTGGGCGTGCACCACAGCGGCATCCTGCCCATCCTCAAGGAAATTGTGGAGATGCTCTTCAGCCGCGGCCTGGTCAAGGTGCACACCGCCTCCTCCCTGCGGCCCTGCGGCAGCTTCTTCATCTCCCGGACCTTAGGGTCCTCATCTTAAACGGGGATGCGCTCAGAAGAGAAACCCCAAAAGCTAGCAAGCACAGACGCTGTCATCAGAAAAATGCAAATTGAAACTCATGAGATAAGGGTTCAGTGATTAGATGGTGAAACTTAGGGAACTGGCTAGTGCCAAAAGCTGCCACAGCCGCAGGCAGACCTCGGGCACATTGCGGGCTGGGTCCCAGACCTCCGTAGTGTCGCATTATGGCGAGTCACACGGGTTTTTTGGCTTCTCGGTGCACTTAAAAGTTATGCTGACACCATACTGAACTCTGTTAAGTGTACAAAGCGTTATGTCTAAAAACAACGTACGTACTTTAGAGAATAGTGTTACAAATGCTCCCCATCTTCTGAGCCTTCAGTGAATGGTAACCTTTTCGCTGGAGGTCTTGCCCCCGTGGTGATGGCCACGCAGTATCTGCAAATTGCAATTGAGCGAGGTCTGCCTGCATAGGCCTCTAGGACCCTTCGCACAGGGCAGCCAGTCCGGAGCGTACCTGGCTTTCCTTAGGCCAGAGCAGGTATAACATACTCTGACCCAATTCCATTCCTGAATATAAGCCACAGGAAGTCCTCACCCGCGCCCAGGGGGAAACATGTCTGCTCTTTCTTTGTTGGCTAGTCTGGCAGGGATCGGTCCCTGCCCCCCGGGGAGAGCAGCCGGGTAACTGGAGGGGTGTTCCCCACTGTCCTGCCGCAGTTGGAAGCGAGGGGTTAGGTACAACCACAGGGACAGGTGGGTGCTGAAAACACCATGTGGAGGAAAAGAAGTAAACAGGAGATACACAACTGCTTTCAATGTGAATTGCAAATTACATGCACATAAGACAACGCGTAAGAACACATTCACACAAAACGATACTCATTAGACATCGGATGACTGACGGGGGGGTGGGATGTGGGGGCACCAAGAAAGGAATAGCTAAGTAAATGAATGAGGGAAGTGGTCATCCCTGCTCTATCCATTTGCCCTGAGTGGAGTGGGCTCCTGAGTTAACCACCTGGACCATGCCAGCTGCCTACATGGCCTTGCTAGTGAGGCGGGGGGTGGCTGCGTGGCCTGTGCTGATCTTTCTTCCCGTGTCCCAGGTCTTGTTCGCCACAGAGACCTTTGCCATGGGTGTCAACATGCCAGCCCGAACGGTGGTGTTTGACTCCATGCGAAAGCACGACGGCAACGCCTTCCGGGACCTGCTCCCCGGGGAGTACGTGCAGATGGCGGGCCGCGCGGGCCGCAGGGGCCTGGACCCCACGGGCACCGTCATCCTGCTCTGCAAGGGCCGCGTGCCCGAGATGGTGGACCTGCACCGCATGATGACGGTGAGACACAGGCCCAGCCCCGCCCGCGGCTGCCTCTCCGGCCCTTGCCCTCTCCTGTCTGTCTACTATTTCCTCTGCCCGGGAAGCCCCGTGGGAGCGAGCAGATCCCAGGGCGAGACCTGGTCCCGCTCTCTCCCGCACTGAGTGCAGCGCTAGCAGGGCCTTGTGACTCCATCAGTTCTGCTCCCTTATTTGGCAGAAGCGGTGCGTGGGCAGCTTGTCTAGGGTGGTCCGCAGAGGGCTGGGTGGGGAGCAACGGGCCCAGCCTGGTCTCCCCGCTCCCCACAGGGTAAGCCATCGCAGCTGCAGTCTCAGTTCCGCCTCACGTACACCATGATCCTCAACCTGCTGCGGGTGGACGCCCTCAGGGTGGAGGACATGATGAAGAGGAGCTTCTCTGAGTTTCCGTCCCGCAAGGACAGCAAGGTGAGGGGTCGGGTGACCAGTACCCTGGCCTAGACATTGGACGAGGGAAGCCAGGCTGGGGATAGGTGGGCATGTGGAGGCCAGCGGGCTGCAGGTGGGGATGTAGCCGACTGAGCCTGGAGACTCATTTCACACCTGCCCTTGCTTCTGCCCAGGCCCACGAACAGGCTCTGGCTGAATTAACCAAGAAGCTGGGGGCCTTGGAGGAGCCTGACCTGACTGGCCAACTGGTGGACCTGCCCGAGTATTATAGCTGGGGAGAGGAGCTGACAGAGACCCGCAGCTTGATCCAGGTCAGCAGGGATGCGGGCAGACGGAGGGGAAGACAGGGCGGCACTCTGGGTGCCCCCGAACTGGTCCCTGCATCCCTGACTGCCTCCTTCATCCGTGTGCACATCCCCGCTCCTCAGCGACGTGTCATGGAGTCTGTCAACGGGCTGAAGTCTCTCTCGGCCGGGAGGGTGGTGGTTGTGAAGACTCAGGAGCATCACAACGCACTGGGTGTGATCCTGCAGGTGATGCCGGGGATCTGGGCCCGAGGGAGGAGCAGGTTACACTCGGCAGTGCCCTCACCTTCCCTCTTGCCTTCCTCCCCTCCCATCACCACCACTTCGTGCCCTCTGCCCTCCCCGCTCCCCACCCCGCCTGCTTGGCGTGGTCTGCATTGGTGGGCTCTGTGCGGCTGCTCCGGGATCCCCGCCTGAGGTCGGACCTGCTCTCGACCTTGTCCACTCCTCTCATTCCCTGTCCCGGCCTCCCGCCCCTAGGTCTCCTCGAACTCCACCAGCAGGGCATTCACCGCTCTGGTCTTGTGTGATAAACCCGTGTCTGAGGACCCACGGGAGAGGCGCTCGGCCTCCCCAGGTGTGCCCTACCCAGAGGACCTGGTGGGATTCAAACTGTTCCTGCCTGAAGGTGAGAGGGGCAGATGCCCAGGTCCCTAAGGGCAGTGAAGGCAGGGCACCTGGGTTCGGGGCGAGGTCTGACCCTGCTCGTCCCTTTTCACAGGGCCCTGTGACCACACTGTGGCCAAGCTCCAGCCCGGAGACGTGGCTGCCATCACCACCAAAGTGCTCCGGGTGAACGGGGAGAAGATCTTGGAGGACTTCAGCAGGAGGCAGCAGCTGAAATTCAAGTCCGATGCTGGGGAGGCCCCTTTCCCGGGGAGGGACCACTTGGGGGGGAGTGGGAGGCAGGGTTGGGAGGCCCGCAGCCCGTCTCAGGACCTGCTCCTTCCTCAGGAAAGACCCTCCCCTCGCTGCTGTGACCGCTGCTGCCCAGGAATTGCTGCGCCTGGCTCAGGCCCACCCGACAGGACCCCCTACCCTTGACCCTGTCAACGACTTGCAGCTTAAGGATGTGTCAGTGGTTGAGGGGGGACTCCGGGCCCGGAAGCTAGAGGAGCTGATCCGGGGGGCTCAGTGCGTGCACAGCCCCCGTTTCCCTGCCCAGGTAGGGCCCTGGATGCCAGCTTTAAGCCTTTTCTCTCTGGTCCCCTGTAGGCTGCCCACCCCCATGTCAGTCCTGGTCCTCAAGCCCCGTGGAGGGCGAGGGAGAGCTGACCCGCCCCTGCTGTGGCTCTCCACAGTACCTGAAGCTGCAGGAGCGAAGGCAGCTACAGAAGGAGATAGAGCGGCTGCGCTTCCTGCTGTCAGACCAGTCGCTGCTGCTGCTCCCCGAGTACCACCAGCGAGTAGAGGTGAGAGCAGTGTGGGGGGCTAGTGAGGGAGAACAGCAGGCTCCCGACACCCGCCATCTTCCGTCCAGGTGCTCCGAACTCTGGGCTATGTAGACGAGGCGGGCACGGTGAAGCTGGCGGGGCGCGTGGCTTGTGCCATGAGCAGCCATGAGCTGCTCCTCACCGAGCTCATGTTCGACAACGCTCTGAGTGCCCTGCGGCCGGAGGAGATAGCAGCCCTGCTCTCCGGCCTGGTCTGCCAGAGCCCCGGGGACACTGGGGAGCAGCTCCCAAGTACCCTCAAACAGGTATTGGGCCCCCCCTCCCCGGGCTGCAGCATTCCCAGGCCCTACCCCCAGGGTCCCCCGTGACCTCTCCAACCCTGTACGTGCCCCGAAGAGCTGGAATGGCTTCTTCCTTGATCTGAGCCTCCCTAGTCCTGGAGCAGGAAGGGGTCTTAACCTGTCCTTCCCCACCTGCAGGGAGTGGAACGTGTCCGCGCTGTGGCCAAGCGGATTGGTGAGGTCCAGGTGGCCTGTGGCCTGAACCAGACAGTGGAAGAATTTGTAGGGGAGCTGAATTTCGGGCTGGTCGGGGTTGTGTACGAGTGGGCCCGGGGCATGGTGAGTAACTGGATTTGGGGTTTTGCAGACGGTTGGGGAGAGCCTGCCCAGGTCTATCCAATTTAGTCCCCACCCTGCTTCCCCCACAGCCCTTCTCGGAGTTGGCAGGGCTCTCGGGGACGCCCGAGGGCCTGGTGGTCCGCTGCATCCAGCGCCTGGCCGAGATGTGTCGCTCACTGCGAGGGGCGGCCCGCCTGGTCGGCGAGCCTGTGCTGGGTGCCAAGATGGAGACGGCAGCTACCCTGCTGCGGAGGGACATCGTCTTTGCAGCTAGCCTCTACACGCAGTGAATGGCCCCATGGGGAATAATAAAACAGCAAACCGCCGGTGTGTACTGAGGTGCTGGGCAGGGTGACAGCTCAAAGACACAGCAGGGAGAACCACCTAGAAATCTGCCTTTAACTGCACAGAGACAGGACCAGCCCCCCTGAAGTATAAGTCCTTAGGGGACGGTGTCTTGGGGGGGCGATGGGAGCTCCTGAGTCATGGCTTCCACGTACCATGTGGGCAGGAAGACATGGGGTGTGTCCCGATGTACGGACACGGTGACTGGGCCGCCAGGCTCCCAGGAGAAGAGGTGGACAAGCCTGAGGGGAAGACGGAGTCAGCAGCTGAGGGCTGGAGGCCAGGCTCCTGGGACCCAGAGGGGAGGGCAGAGCGGAATGCCTCACCTGGGGTCGTCCTGCACGACTGTGTTCTGGGCAAAGCTGAGGAAGGCGGCACAGAAGTTCATGCACACGGAAGGGTTCCAGCCGTCACGGTCATTCTGGAGAGGGCCGAGGAGGAGGCAGAAACGAGTGAGGGCAGGAGCGGGAGAGGGACACACTACGGCCCTGGACACGGGGCCTGGGGTCTTGGCGTGGGGGTTCAGGTACCACCGCCTTACCCTGACGTGCTCAAACATCTGCATGGTGGGAAAGGTCTTGAGGGAACAGACGAAACCCTCTGGGTTGCGGAAGCCAGCGACAACATTGGGGACTCCCAGGAGGAATGACTGAGCCCACCATTTCAGGAGCTTGTGTCTGTAAAGAAAGACAGGCCTCAGCGGGGCGCCCCCTCCTCTTCCCCCAAGGCCCTGTCCCAGCTGTCAGCTCTCGGCCCTGGCCCGCCCACCCCCTCCTGAACCTGTAGAAGCTCCTCCATTGGCCAGGGCTGTGCATCTCCTTGGAGGTCTTGAGCTCCACATAGCAGGTGGGGGGCTGCGGAGATGGGGCCTGGGGGTCTGTGCAGTCCACCTCCCCCGAGAAGAGCAGAGGGTGGCTTCCCAGGCGGCTGCGTAGCACAGAGCAGAAGGCCACGTTGGTGTTAACCTCCCCAGAGGGGTCGGGGGAGCCTCCAGGTTTGTCTGTACAGAGAGAAGCAGCAACAGGGTGGGGGCTCGTAGTCTCTGGGGGAGCGGGGGGCCTGCAGAGCAGGGGCAACGCTCACCTGCACACATGTACTGCTCGAACTTGTACCCCATGTACATCAGCTCGCGGAGGAGGGGCGGCCGGGCGAGCCTCTGCGCGCGAGCAGCCGGCGTCTCCACCTCACTCAGGTACAGCGTCCCCTGGAACCTGGAGGCCGCCAGCTGCCAGCCCTCCTGCCGCTCGTACGGTGTCGTCAGCAGTTTTGTCAGGTGTCCCCGCCACGTCACGATGGCCCCTGCCAGCCAGCCGGGACCTCTGAGAGGAGGGAGAGGCTGCAGGGCACCGCGCACTGGCGCAGATGGCTCCCGGAGCTCCCCCCGGGGCTCCCCCCGGGGCGGTGCGCGCCCGCGCTGCTCCGTCTCCGCGCTCACCCCTCCAGCCCGCCTCGGTGCTCCAGGAGCCAGCGCAGCAGGTGGTCCAGGCCCTCTCGCACCTCCTCGTCCCGCGGCTGGTACCGGTCGGGGTACCCCTCTCGGAGGTCGAAGTTGGGGCCCTGACCAGCGGCGGGTGGGCTGTAGTAGCGCAAGGCCTGGGCATCGCCGTGGTACTGGCGCTGCGCGTCCAGGGAGAAGCAGCCCAGCTGGGACGGGCGCCGGTAGAACGGGAAGGGCCCGGAGTAGAGGGCGGGCTCCGTGGGCAGCGAGGGCGCGGGGCGCGGGGGTTTGTTCCGCGGTTCGGCTCCTTCTACCTTCCCAGCTCCCCGCTTGGTGCCCCGGGGCTCCATGAGGCGCTGGGAGGCGGGGGCGGCCCTTCTGCAGAGGAGGGGGGAAGGCGCGGGCCTCCCGACGGCCGGCCCCGGCCTGGAACCACGCGGCGGGGGGAGGGTCCCTCCCGGTGCACCCGCGGGGAGGGCAGGAGCTGGCGGCTGAGCCCAGGCCGGGTCACCACGGAGCCGACGCCGCGCAGGAACGCGGAGGCCCGGCGGGTTTCCGGCCCGATGACGCGATCATTCCGCGCCAGCGAAGGGCCCAGCCCGCGCTCCCGGGGTGGCCGCTCGTCCGCGGCGCCGGGGCCTCCGTTCGCGGCCGCGGCGCCGGGTCCGCGACATGAGCCGGAAGAGGCCGCGCCCGGGCGCGAAGCCGCTGGGTCTGAGGCGGCGGCGCGGCGGCGGGCCCGCCGAGGCCGAGCCCCCGGGGGGCGCGGCTGATGCCCGGGTGTTGGGGGGCGGCGCCCCGCCGGGCAGCCCTCCCCGCCCGGGGTCGGCGCGCGCGGCGGTCGCGGAGCTGGGCCGGCTGTTCCCGCGGGGCCTGTTCGAGGACGCGCTGCCGCCCATCGCGCTGCGGAGCCAGGTGTACAGCCTGGTGCCGGACCGGACGGCGGCGGACCGGCAGCTGGTGAGGGCGCGGCGGCCCCGGTCAGCACGCCGGGCGGGGAGCGAGCCAGGTGCCCGAGGGGAGCGCGGAGCTCGGGAATTCACCGGCATAAACGTTTGCCGCCGCATGACGTTGTAGAATCGGGAACACGGCCTTTCTTATCTACTGGCTGGCTGCTTTTCGGTTTCTCCGCTTGTCAATGTTAATGTCTTTCAGAGAACTCACACTTAGCTTTGTTGCTCTCTTGTTGGCATGTTTTCTGCTTCATTCATCTGTTTCCCCTGTACTGTTGGGTTTGTTTTACTCCCCCCGCCCCCCCCCCGCCCCCCCCGCGCACACACACACACACACACACACACACTAACTTTTATTCTCTCTTTTCTAAGAAATGCATGGCAGGCTGTAGTTTTCCGCTAAGTATTGAGATTTATCCTCTCAAGTTTTGGTATATGTTTTCATTATCATTTATTTCAAAATGTCTTCTAATTTGTCCTGTGTTTCCCCCCCTTTGATTTATTGGGTTGATTAGTAACGTATGTTTTAATTTCTGAGCATTTTCTTATTACCTTACTAGAGTCCCGGTGCAGGTGGGCCAACCAGGGAGGGACCCCGAGGGCTCCAGGGCCTGTGGGGCCCGCCTGCTTAATCTCTCTCTGAGGGCCCCAGCAGCAAGCTAACCTACAGGTCAGAGCATCTGCCCCTTGGTGGTCAGTGCACAGCATAGCAAGTGGTTAGCATATCATTAGCATAATAAGCTTTGATTGGTTGAATGGCTGACCAGTTTACTGGACACTCAGCATATTAGGCTTTTATTATATAGGACTAGAGGCCTGGGGCACGAAATTCGTGCACTGGGGGGGGAGGTGTCCCTAGCCCAGCCTGCACCCTCTTCAATCTGGGACATCCCTCTTACAATCCGGGACTGCTGGCTCCCAACCGCTCACCTGCCTGCCTGCCTGATTGCCCCTAACCACTTCTGCCTGCCAGCCTGATTACCCCCTAACCACTCCCCTGCCAGCCTGATCGACGCCTAAATGCCCCCCTCCTGGCCCGATTGCCCCCAAATGCCCTCTCCTGCTGGCCCGATCACCCCCAACTGCCCTTCCCTGCCAGTCTGGTCGCCCCTAATTGCTCTCCCCTGCAGACCTGGTCGCTCCCAACTACCCTCCCCTGCTGGCCCGATCACACCCAACTGCCCTTCCTTGCCAGCCCGGTTGCTCCCAACTGCCCTCCCTTGCCGGTCTGGTCGCCCCTAACTGCCCTCTCCTGCAGACCAGGTCGCCACCAACTGCCCTCCTCTGCTGGCCTGGTCACCCCCAACTGCCCTCCCCTGCAGGGCTGGTCCCCCCCAACTGCCCTCCTCTGCAGGCCTGGTCCCCCCCAACTGCCCTCCTCTGCAGGCCTGGTCACTCCCAACTGCCCTCCCCTGCAGGCCTGGTCGCTGCCAACTGCCCTCTCCTGCCGGCCTGGTTGCCCCTAACTGCCCTCTCCTGCTGACCTGGTCCCCCCTCCCCCCAGCTGCTCTCCCCTGCAGGCCTGGTCCCCCCAAACTGCCTTCCCTCCCCTGCAGGTGTGGTCACTCCCAACTGCCCTCCCCTGCTGGCCTGGTTGCCCCCAACTGCCCCCTCTGCAGGCCTGGTCGCCCCCAACTGCCCGCCCTGCAGGCCTGGTCACCCCCAACTGCCCTCCCCTGCAGGCCTGGTCACTCCCAACTGCCCTCTCCTGCAGGCCTGGTCACCCCCAACTGCCCTCTCCTGCAGGCCTGGTCACCCCCAACTGCCCTCTCCTGCCGGCCTGGTCACCCTAACTGCCCTCTCCTGCTGACCTGGTTCCCCCCCCCAACTGCCCTCCCCTGCAGGCCTGGTCATCCCCAACTGCCCTCTCCTGCTGACCTGGTTCCTCACCCCCCCCGCCCCCCCGCCAGCTTCCCTCCTCTGCAGGCCTGGTCATCCCCAACTGACCTCTCCTGCAGGCCTGATCCCCCTTAACTGCCCTCCCCTGCAGGCCTGGTCACTCCCAACTGCCCTTCCCTGCAGGCCTGGTCCCCCCAAACTGCCCTCCCTCCCCTGCAGGTGTGGTCACTCCCAACTGCCCTCCCCTGCAAGCCTGGTTGCTCCCAACTGCCCTCCTCTGCCAGCCATCTTGTGTGAGGGCATGATGGTCAATTTTCATATTACCTCTTTATTATATAGGATTGTTACTTATTTCTGGCTAAGTGATATATTGGCCAGAAAGCGTACAATATTATTTTCGCCATTTGAAACTTGTTGAGACTTGCTTCATGCTATGTGGTCAGTTTTGCTAAATATTGTATGTGTAGTTGAAAAGAATATGCATTATTCAGTTATTAATTTCTCAGTAACTAGAGTTACAATTGAAGTCTTCTAGTTCCTCACTGATTATTTTGTCTGTTCTATGAGTTAATGAAAATTGGATTAATATACTTTTGTGATTGTGGATATGTTATTGTTTTTTCACATATTTCCCCTACCTTATCTCTTTTCATTCCTCCTTGGACTTTAATTACACATACATTGGACCTTCTCTTTGTATCCTTTACGTCTTTCAGCTTCTTGTCTGCATTTTCAATCTTTTTGACTGTATTATATCCTTGTTAGTTTTATAAAATCTGTTTTACAGGCCAGTAGCTTTTTATTTAGCTGTGCCTTAATACATTAAACCCATCCATTGAGTCCTTAATTGCACTTGCCAGTTCTAGAATTTCTATTTGGTTATTTTTCAACATATTATGTCAGTTTATATAATTTCTTGCTAAAAAATTCTGTCTTGACTGTTATTATCTAAGCATTATACACATAGGGGTTTTTTAGTAGTCTGTTTTTGATAATTCCCTGATAACATGTCTTTTGGGGTCTGTTTCTATTGTCTGTTTCTTTTGAATTTTGTTTCCTTGTGTGTTCATTTACTTATTTATGCCCAGTTATTATTATTATTTAAAGTATGTCATTATTGACTTCAGAGAGGAAGGGAGAGGGAGAGAGAGAAATATCAACAATGAGAATCATTGATCAGCTGCCTCCTGCATGCCCCCTACTGGGGATTGAGCCTGGGATCCTTCAGTCTGCAAGCCGATGCTCTATCCACTGAGCCAAACTGGCTAGTGTGCGCCCAGTTATTTTTGACTGTGCTGGACAGATTTGCCCTCCATCTTCCAATTACATCTTTGTTGTTGTTAATCCTCACCTGAGGATATTTTTTTCCCCATTGATTTTTAGAGAGAGTGGAAGGGAGGGAGGGAGTGAGAAACATCGATGTGAGAGACACATTGATTAGTCGCCTTCGCCGGGGATTGATCCTGCAACCCAGGCATGTGCTCTTGACCAGGAATGGAACCTGCGACCCTTCAGTGCTCAGGCCAATGCTCTAACCACTGAACCACACCGGCCACAGAGCCCCATTATTTCTATGAATTTTTTTGTTGACGTATTATCTTGTGAGCTCTTTGATGCTTAACAATTTTAAAAACAATATTTTATCCAGCATTTTAATTAATTTTCAGTAGGTGAGTTAGTTCTTGCTGTATTCTTAGAAACACTAGTCCTGGTTGATTTTTATTTGTTTTAAACATTTTATCCCATATTCTTCACTACTTTCCTCTGCCCACAGTCTAGACTTAATTCCTTGAGGGCAGGGTCTGTGTCTTTTTAAAATATACATATATTTTTATTGATTTCAGAGAAGAAGGGAGAAGCAGAGAGAGATAGAAGCATCAATGATTGGCTGCCTCCTGCACGCCCCCCGCCCACTGGGGATTGAGCATGTAGCCCGAGCATGTGCCCTGACTGGGAGTCAACCCGTGACCTCCTGGTTCATAGGTTGATGCTCAACCATTGAGCCACACCAGCTGGGCAGGGTCTGTCTTAATCACTATTTTATCGTACTTAGTGTCTGCCATATGATTAGTCTTAGAAAGTATGTACTGATCGTTTAACATAAGAGATGAGGTGGGTGGATGGGAGGGTGGGTATCCAATTGGAAAATACTCTTTGGTGATTCCCCTGATTCTCCCCACAGTTTTCCCTTCACTTGGAGAAAAGCTCCCCAGTATGGGCAGCGCCCCCCGGGTATGTTAGGGCATCTTACCCTGATAGCCTTCTTCTCACCCCCATCTTCCTGGAAACAGAAAGAACTTCAGGAGCAGGGGGAGATCAGAGTCATCCAGCTGGGCTTCGACCTGGACGCCCACGGGATTGTTCTCACCGAGGACTACAGGACCAGAGTGCGTGTGGCTGGGGCGCGGGGCAGGCGGCTACCCACTCCACACCTCCCAGGGCACGGGCTCTGGTTGGTAGTAATAGGAGGGCCAGGAAGGAGCGGGAGGAAAGGTCTGAGAGGTGAGATGAACTGGGCAGAAGGGGTCTGCCTCCCACGTGCCGAGAAACGCCCCCCAGCCTCTCATCCCTGCTTCCAGGTCCTCAAGGC